TTCGATTAACAAGGTAATCTGAATATACTTCCCTTGTAGTGATTCCTTATCCTTTGGTATCATAGTTTTTTCTTAAGTTGATTCTTTATCACAAAGTGCTCAAGGTTCTTTGTTCCAATAAACATCTCTTAGGTTGTTCTTTTTGCTTCATTTATTTGTTTCGGTATATTTCGATCATGGCTACCTCTAATAAATTTCTCGTTTATCGATGGTTTTGTTCAAATCTTGATGCTACATCTTTGTTAGAAGGAACTCTTCCATTTTCATTAAGGGCTCACGTGTGGAGAAGCCTTGTGAGGAAAGATTGAAAAAGAGGCGGGAAGGTATGAAGGTAGGTTTTTCAAAGAGTTCTAAGGATATCACATTCATTTATTAATGGAATCACTCCATTCTTGTCCCAACAAATTTGTATTGTAGTATGCTAAAGGTTTGCTGAATAAACCAAATGAATGCGAGGATCCAAACATTTGAACAAAATGCTCTGAGGGAAACCACTATCGAAAGGTAAGGGATGACATGGTCCAGGTGGATCGTTGTGACCCGGTTCAAATGGACGATTAGCCCCGTCTAACCGAACTAGTTTTCCTCATTTTTCTTACTTTGGTCATTTTGAGCCCAAGTTTTTATCCACTTTCTATAGTATTCATTTTTTTTTTTATTTAGAGTTTATTCGAGAAATTTGGAGGAAATTAAAATTTTTTAAAGGACCCGAACCAATCCAAAAATGATTGAACGAATCAAGTAAATCACCATGCATATTTATTTTTGCATTTTCTTTTGTTCTTCATGTTTTTTATTTAAATCGAGTGCATGAGTGGTGCGATTTTAACAAATAGTATCAGAGCTAGGAGAGATTTAGCCGATCTATGAAAATGGAGTGTTCAAAGATTGAAATCAAGAAGATTGATGGATTGGATACCAGTTTTCGGAAGATGAAGATTGAAGATTGTCTTACAAAAAAGATCTCCACGAACCATGGTTTGAGATGAGGATGTCGAGTCGTAGAATGAGCACCAAAGTAGAATGGCATTGAACTGTGAGGAGGCGTCACTGGGCGTAGACGTGAAAAACAACAGGCAAGTTATGGTTCTGAATGTTAGACGAACACGACTCCCCACAATGGTATGATATTGTCCACTTTGAGCATAAGCTCTCATGGCTTTGCTTTGGGCTTCCCCAAAAGGCCTCATACCAACGGAGAGTGTATTCTTAGATTATAAACTCATGACCATTCCCTAAATTAACCGATGTGGGACTTTCATCATCCAACACTTCCCCTCGAACAAAGCACGCCTCCCCTTAATCGAGGCTCGACTCCTTTGGAGTCTTAGTCCTTTTTGACTGCCTTCGTACCTTCGAGGAGGCTTGACTCCTTTTGGAGTCCTTTGTTCGACATTTAAGGATTTGCCAATCTATTGACACGGCTAAGTTTAGGGTATGGCTCTGATACCATGTTAGACGAACACGACTCCCCACAATGGTATGATATTGTCCACTTTGAGCATAAGCTCTCATGGCTTTGCTTTGGGCTTCCCCAAAAGGCCTCATACCAATGGAGAGTGTATTCTTAGATTATAAACCCATGACCATTCCCTAAATTAACCGATGTGGGACTTTCATCATCCAACACCTCCCCTCGAACAAAGCACGCCTCCCCTTAATCGAGGCTCGACTCCTTTGGAGTCTTAGTCATTTTTGACTGCCTTCGTACCTTCGAGGAGGCTTGACTCCTTTTGGAGTCCTTTGTTCGACNACACGGCTAAGTTTAGGGCATGGCTCTGATACCATGTTAGACGAACACGACTCCCCACAATGGTATGATATTGTCCACTTTGAGCATAAGCTCTCATGGCTTTGCTTTGGGCTTCCCCAAAAGGCCTCATACCAATGGAGAGTGTATTCTTAGATTATAAACCCATGACCATTCCCTAAATTAACCGATGTGGGACTTTCATCATCCAACATTGAATACCAAAAACCTATTGCTGGTGGGCTAGAATAAGGTTCTAGAGACGATAGTGAATGATGGAAATAAAAGAATGGAGTAATTCTCTATCATCACTACTTCAAATCCTTTTTTTACTCACGTGGCCAACAACATCGACGTTTGAAAATATCTTTCACTGATGAATAACAAAGTGGAATTTTCAGACCTTGTTGATGCTAGCAATGCTCCTAGGGCTGTTGAAGCATCTGTTCAAGAATTTGCTCCTATGGAAGAATTCACTAGAGTTGATCATTGGAGCACTTCAAATTCCAGTGTTTCAACAGCTCACCAGAAACAATTCGATTCGCTTTATGCTTTTATGATTTTGCAAAGTTCAAAGATTGGTAGGTTTTAGAGTTAATCTAATTGACGCGGTCTAGAAACATAGTGGAAGCTCAAGGTTTGATATGACTCTAAGGTTCATTCACTTGATAATATCTAGAAATATAGTAGAAGCTCAAGAATTGGTAGGCCCCACGATTGATATAGTTGATGTTGTCCAGAAATACAGTGGAAGTTCAAGAATTTGTAGGCTCTAAGGTTGATCTAGTTGACACCGTCCATAAATGCAATGGAAGCTCAAGGATTAATAGGATCTAGGATTGATCCAGTCAACGTTGTCAAAAAATGCAGTGGAAGCTCAATGATCAGTAGGATCTAGGGTGATCTAGTTGATGTTGTCTAGAAACGCAATGCAAGCTCAAAGATCTGTAGGCTCCAAGGTTGATCCAATCAATAGTGTCCAGAAACTCAATGGAAACTCAAAATTGGTAGGTTCCAGAGTTGATCTAGTTGATGTTGTCCAAAAATACAGTGGACGCTCAACAATTGGTAGACTCCAAGGTTGATCCAATTGACATTGTTCAGAAATCCAAGAATTCAACGATCGGTAAGCTCTAGAGTTGTTCAAGTTGACATTATTCAGAAACCAGGTAGAAGCTTAAGAATCAGTAGGGTCCAGAGTTGATTCGGTTGACACTATCCAAAAAATATAGTGAAAGCTCAGCGATCAATAGGTTCCAGGGATTATCCAGTTGATGTTATCTAGAAATACAGTTTTAGTACAAGGATAGGTAGGCTCTAGGGCTAATTCAATTGACACTATCCAAAAACCAAAAAGAAACTTAAAGATCGGTAGGCTCCAAGGTTGATTATGTTGACGTTGTCTAGCAACACAATGAAAGCTCAAGGATCGGTAGGCTCTAGGGTTTATCTAGTTGATGCTGTCTAGAAACTTAATGGAAGCTCAATGATCGATAAGCTTTCAGGTTGATTCAGTCAGCATGGATCATTGAAGTACTTTTAGGAGTTGATAGAAGAAGAGTAGAGCCTAAAAATGCATGAACCCAATTAGAAATTTTATGAGCACCTTCAAGGTGCGGTTATGAGGTTTCCAATCACTCTCTAGTTATGATCTTGTTCGAATGAGAGCAAGGGACAATATAGGTAACTAAGTGTTGGCTAGATTGAGCGTCACAACCTTCTTATTGTTGCTTATGTTATGGGGCCTATTAAGGGTTTCCAACTAAACCCTACTAGTGAATTTGAAAATAGTGCCCATAATGATATGATGAGAACTATGACTTGGATACGAACGTCGGGGTCACGCCTCGAGAGTCTACCAGCCATAGGCCTATGATGACGATGACAATGACAATGAAAATGACGTCTAAAATGATAATGAAAATGATGTCTAAGATAATAATGAAAATGATGTCTAAGATAATAATGAAATGATGTCTATAGGATAATAAAGACCTAAACAATAATAACTATAACCCTATGGATGAACCACGAGAATCAACCCAATTAGGGGTAAAAAAAAAAAAAAAGAATTTATAGTTTCCGTACCATAACTTTAAGTTGAGTTTAGGTGAACAAGTGAACGTAAGGTATAGCCTATGAAGAGTCTGTAACTCAGAAGAGATCTCCTAAATATGAATAAGACACTGAACTAACGAACAAACCAGTGACATAAGACTTAAGAATGAATTAACAACTACAAGCAAGTTAGTTACCAGTATTTTTATACTCATCCATGACATTTTAATTCTTTTTCAGATGAGATTTGGACGGAGTGGTCGAGGTAAAGATGTCCACGAGCTGCGAGGCCATAAGGGTCGGACTAGATCGGTGTAATATATTTCTTAGAACTCAGTCATATCACACATTGGCTTTGTCATTAGCCTGTTTTACCATAATTTCTTTAAATACTATGTACATTGTAAAAATTATAAATTAATTTGTATTTTCAAATATTTCACGTCTATAAGTAATAGCTGATTGTTCGAATTTACCCAATATCTATTGTAATAGTTGCACTTAAGTATCTATTTAGATTTCACTTCTAAAAATTACCATTTACCATGAAAATATCATCAATTTTGTACTCCTCTACTTTTAAATAGTTATGATGTTGATTATTACTATTTGATTAATTATTATCACGTGCAAAACAAAGTGCAATGATTTCTTCCACAAAAAAGTTATGATCAATATCCAACAGGTAAGAGGAATACGCTTTCCATTGTGTTATATGCAAGAGTTAAATCGAATGCCTGATGTTCCGATCGTACTTTTTTAGGCAGTAGATTTGACGATTGTACGATACCCACTCTCGATAATGAACGAGTCAAGCTAACTTAGGATTGCATCGCCTATAGTTGAATCACGCTTTTCTAGAGAGTAGATTTGGCTCAATGAGTCCGACCCTGATGTAAGAATAAAGGTTTTTAGAAAGCAGAAACATAGAGATTTTGAAAGAGAGTTCGAATGCAAGATTGAGAGAAAACAAGCATGACCATGACACAAGACACCCCTTAAATGAAGGTGTTAGGAACACTCAATCTCAACAATGATATGAAATTATCTATTTTGAGCATAAACTCTTTTGTATTTACTTGTAGCTTTCCTAAAAAATCTCATTCGAATGAAGGTATATTTTTACTTATAAACCCATGATCTTTTTTTAATTAGAGATTCCTCACCCAACAATCCTAAACCGAAGGGTGAATTAGATCCACAAGCAAAGTAAACAAGTTTATTCATGAAACGAAACTCAAAACGAGAAAGATAGAGCAACAGTAGATTAGCTCGTACAACTCGAACAAGACACAAATTAAAAACAGTATAAGAATTAACAATGGCGAGTACAGAAGCAGCGACGACGGAAGCCGACACAGTCACCACCGGAGAAGCCTTCGGTACGGCAGACAACAGCGCAGTTGTGGTTGCTCAAGCAGGTGCCATGGAAGTGGTGGCTCTGGGACTTGCACACTCGAGCCTCAGCAGTGCGACCCATCAGCTCATCTGCAAATAATATAACATTATATTGATTAGAACAAAGAAAGAACAAAAGGGAAAGGGGATGGGGTTGGGGTTAGGGTTTAATTACCCGAAGCAGAGAAGATAAGGAGGAGGAGTAAGAGAGTGGGGAGGAGGGATCTGTTCATCATCTTTAGCTATTGGCTTGATATTCAAGTTGTGAGCATCAATGAGAGGAGGTACCACTTGTTTATATAGCCACCTCCCCTCCCAACAACCTTCCCACACCTCATTATTCATCATTTTATTCTATCATCTTTTAATTAATTCGATACATATTTTAAAATTGTTAGACCCCACGTAGTTGTAGAGTGTGGATACCTCTCCATAATAGATGCATTTTAAAACTGTAAGGATGACGGCGATGTAACGAGTCAAAACGGACAATATTTGTTAGCGGTGGGCTTGGACTATTACAAATGGTATCAAAATCAGACACTGGATGGTGTGCCAGTTAGGACGCTGGCTCTCAAGAGGAGTAAATTGTGAGATCTCACATCGGTTGGAGAGGGGAACGAGCATTTCTTATAAGGGCGTGAAAACCCTTCTTAACAGACGTGTTTTAAAATCGTTAGGCTGATGGCGATACGTAATGATCCAAAACGGACAATATATATTAGTGATGGGCTTGAGCTATTACAAATGGTATTAGAATGAAACATAGGGCAGTGTGTGCTAGCAAGACGTTGGCCCTCAAGGGGGTGGATTGTGAGATCCCACATCGGTTGGAGAGAGAAACGAGCATTCCTTATAAGGGTGTGAAAATCTTTTCCTAATAGACGTGTTTTAAAATCGTAAGGCTGACAGCGATACGTAACGAGCTAAAGCGGACAATATCTATTAGCGGTGGGCTTGAGCTATTACAAACGGTATCAAAATCAGACACTGGACGATGTGCCAGTGAAGACGGTGGATTGTAAGATCCCACCTCAGTTGGAGAGGAAAACGAGCATTCCTTCTAAGTTTTTAGAAACCTCTTTTTAACAGACATGTTTTAAAACCGTAAGACTGACAGCAATACGCAATGAGCCAAACCGAATAATATCTATTAGCGACGTACTTTGACTATTACAAAAATACTTTTTCAATTCCACTTTAGTACTCACTGTTGACAATATTATAATACCAAAGAATACGACGTCATGACCAGAGATTCAAACTTGTAATTCTTGTCTGTCGTAAAATAGAGGTGGATTATACATGTTTTGTAATGCCCAATGTCCTAGATGTAGAATTCAAATTAGGCACCTAATGGTTCGACATTCCCCTACATCCTTAACGACATGGTCATGTTACTTATTCTTTCGTTCTAAAAGTGAAGTCTATCATCATTTACTCGAGTGTCACATGTGTTTAACAAAATCAACTGATTTAAACTAAACTAGGCTACACCACCTCCTACTAACGAACAACTACTAGGCTGCTCACTCAATCTATTCAAGGTCTATTTATGATCTTCTCGAGGAGGTTTACTCTAAAAAGGTAGAACTACAAATAGCAAGACCCCATATCGAGGTTCATCACCAATAAGCTAGTTTAATTCCGCATGTACATTAAATATATTATTGTTTTTACGCAAATAATTTCAAATTTGTATTTTTATTCGAAAGTAAAAAATAAAACATATATATATATTTTTTTACCATTACATTATTTGATACAATAAAATTACTTCATATAATCACGAGGCTACCGACAATGCCTTTACTGTCTCTCTCTTATAATTCATAATCTTTCACGTGATTTATGGAAAAAAACAATGTGCCGACGTGGAACCACACAACCTTAGCTGGAAATTCCAAATTCCAATAATTAATATTTCCCACTCTCTCCGAAAAAGAGAGAGCAAAAAGTACTTTTACCTCTTTTAATTTTATTATTGTATTTATAATTTTAAATATTTCATTTATACTGAATATTAATAAAAATCGTCCTTATGTTTCTCATTCTTAACATGGTATAGAACACTAGTATATTTATCTGTTCCAATCAAATTAAATGGGACAAATTACCAATATAGGAGTAAATCATTTATGCATGAACCAAGAAAAACTACATTCGAATGCAGCTATTCGAGTTCTAAGATACATTAAAGGTAGTCTATTTCCGGATTTTGCATATTCCTCGAAAATTCAATTATTTCTTGGAAGTCTAAAAAGCAAACCAATGTGTCCAAATCATCAACAGAATCCAACAGAATCCGAGTATCGAGCTATGACACATACTTGTTTACAGTTAACTTGATTGAGAATAAAGATTTGAAAGTTTCGCTGTCCGAACCAATATTGTTGTATTGTGATAATCAAGCAGCATTACATATAGCAGCCAATCCAATTTTTCACAAACGTATGAATCATATCGAAATTGATTATCATATAGTTTGAGAAAAGTTACAAGCTAGAATTATCAAACAGTGCTACGTTCCGACTAAAATGTAATTGTCAGATGTTTTTACACTCTCCAACTTGAGGGGAATATTCAGATATAAAAATTAATATATTTTGTGGAATAACGATAATTAATTAAAGAATATATCTTACCTATCGGTAAATTTTCCCTTATTTTTACGAGTTGATTAAGAGTATATTTTATTTTATTTTCAAGTCAACATTATATTTTCTCTTATTTTTAAGATTAATGTTTCTCACGAGACTATTATCACAATTTAATATAAATAAATAGTATAGGTTTACTTTTATATTTGTATTTATTTTTGGAATTAATTATGACAATCTTATATATAATTTTAATAGGTTAATTAATAAATCAATCAAAATTAATTCTTAATATTTTTTAATCCACTAAAAGTAAATAAATAATAGTAAACGAATCATTTTAACTGGTCAATTGATTGTTATTTTAATAAATAAATTCATTTGGTATTTAATTATTTCCATATAATATTTAATTAATTATAGATCATTATTATTTATTATAAATTTAATTTAAAATTATGATATATTAATAATAATCAAAATTAATACCTGCAAATTAAGAAATTGAGTATAAATAATCAATAAGTAATTAATTAATTATTAAAAAATTAATTTTCACCAACATTTTTAACTCATTATAATTAATTAATTAATTATATTTAAGATATTTTTAATGAATGGTAACAGATAAATTAAGATCAACTAATTAATTAACTTGATTTAAAATTCAATTAAAAATAATAAAAATGAAAACAAGTCTAAGTATCGGTTCGAGCGTTCAAAATTTATTTCAAAACAAATCATGAACGAAAGTTCGTATTTATTTACAATAAAAAAAAAACATAAACAAGAACATATATCATTCGTCACGTGTTTTATTTTTTACGATACATATTTAAAATTTTTATAAAAGTCTAGAAGAGGAAATAAATTTTGAACGTAATAAAACTTTTTGAAACATTAAAAAAAAAAAAAAATTGAAATGAAGGGATATTTTGATAATTTAACATTTTTGTTTTTATTAATATTTTGTTAATGAGTTAAAAAAAAAAAAAAAAAAAAAAGTTGTAATTTATTTTTATTGTGCAGTGTAAAGCGTGTGGGCCAGAGTCAGAAACGTACATAAAAGTCAGAAATGACAACTCACCTGTCATAAAACTATTTATTACTTTTTATTAACTCTATTTCATAGTATTTCAGTTCCGGTCTCATATACTATTATTATTATTATTTTTTTTTCATTTTTACAGGAATTATAAGGAAAAAAAAACGTTTTACTCAACTTTTATATTTATAATTTTTTTAAAAGTTTCACTAAAAAAAAAATATTATTAATTTTAAATATTTAAAGCATTTAAAAATACTTTTAAGCTTTTAGATTTCCTTAAATTTTTATTAAAAAAAAAACTTCCAAAATACTTTTGGATTTTTTTAAAACAATTTAAACTTATTTCTATTTTAAAATAATATTAAAATAGTAAAAATATTTTTATTTTTTTTCTATAAAGGTAAAGAGTGTTACCGCTACTTTTAAAGTTTCATACGTATTTTTTTACTTATATTAACGGTAACTAAGACTTGTTAAACAATTGAATGATATTAGTGAAACTTTTTAAAGTTTAAAAAGTATTTTTGAAACACTATATTTTTGAAATAAAATATTAAATGTTTCGCTCCAAAATTAATTTTAAAGATATTTTTTAGACAAATCAGTAATTAAATATTTTTTAGTTAAAAATTTTTCTTAATAAAAAAGAAAGAATATTTTGGTTCAAACACATGCCAAATTAAATATTATATAAAAAAAAACTTTTTCCATGTTTTATTTATTTAATTAATAATTTTAAAATCTAATATTGAAATTTGAGTTTTTTTTACCTTTTTTAATAAAAATTATATTAAAAAAAATAAAAAATCATCCCTAAAAAGAATGTGCTTTTAAAAGAATATATTAAAAATTGGAAAAAAATTCCAGAATGAATTCATCTCTACAAAAATAAATAAATGGAGAATTTTCCGAAGATAAAAATTGAAATAGGAGGTGAGGATGGGACGGGAAAAGCCTCCCCATCCCTACTCCGCCCCCGTAGATATATCTCTAACTAGGAAAATTATAAGAATAGTTTTCAAAGATTTTTTTTTTTTAGAATTTGACTAATTATTTTTTTAATAAAAGTGAATCTTAATTAAAAAAGTTAAAAAAATATATAAAATAGAATGAAATGTTGGTCTAAATTAATAATTAAAACCTTGGATTTTATAGGAGAGACACTTTTCACATGTGATAATTATTAGGACACCAAACAAATTAGAAGACAGAATATAATGTGAATGGATATTTCGATGTATACCAACTTTCTTTAATGAAACCAAAAATCAAAGCTACGAAAGTGAGATTAGAATTTCAATTGGGTACTGTATTGATTGGGGAAGAGAACGGAACCTCTTTCATGTGAGAACCTTTCTCTAACAGACGCGTGATGTGCTAGCGAGGAGGCTATTTCTCGAAGGGGTAGACACGTTGGGCCCTGAACGGAGGTGGATTGTGATATCCCACATTGGTTGGGGAGGAGAACGAAACACCCTTCGGGGTGTAGATTTAGTGGGGTCCACATCCATTGGAGAAAGGAATGAGTGCAAGCAAAGACGCTAGGTTCTGAAGGAAAGTGGATTGTGATATCCCGCATTGATTAGAGAGGAGAACAAAACACCTTTTATAAAAAAAGGGGTGGAAATCTTTCCCGAACAGATA